AGTTGTAGATTTCATGGAGAACTACAACTTTCATGTTGGAAGTTTTCTATGAATCAAATTTCATCAAGGTGAAAAAGTGGTGGAAAGTTGGGAAAAAATAAGAAAATTTCCATACTTAGAAAAATTCTAAGTTATGAAAATTTTCAAATTCAAAACCCTAATTTTCAAAATTGGTTTTCTTGGTGAACAAGTTTCATGTTTTGAAATATCTTGATTAATTATGACCCTTGGCACTTGATTTTGACCAAAAAGTCAAAGTTTGTCTTTTCAATATACAGTTGACTTTTAATCAGTTGACTGCAAAATTCATATATCAATCCAATGAACTTGAGATCTTTTGAACTATGTAATTAGGTCAAGATGATGCCATTAGATCCTTGAAATCATGTTTGAACTCAATTGGTCATTGGATAGGTTAAAAATCAGAAATTGCCCTTTCTCAGTCAAAACCCTAATTTTGACCATTTTGCCCTTTTGATGATTTGATCAAATTTCTTGAGGAGTTGTGATCCAAACTTGATCAAATGATACATATGAGTCTAAAATGTGGTTGTGGATCAAAAATTATGAAGTTTGACTGTAAATTGGCCATGGTTAACTTTTTCTCCAATATAGTTGATTTTTAGGTCAACTGTCCAATTGACTGAGCAAAAATGTGATTCAAGGCTTGAAACTTTAGCATGAGCAATCTTAGGGGTCCAAGATGGTGTATGAATGTCACATGAAGCATTGATGGTCCAAAAATACTTGTGCAAACTCAAACCCTAATTTTGGGTTATCAGTGCAAGATGAGGTGTCTTGAGCTGATCAAACCCTAATCTTGTCTTGAGTCCAAGAAGTCTTGTGAGAAAAATCTTGATAAATGAGAGGGAAAATTTTGGGGTACAACACCTTGAATAGCCTAAAACACCACCGTATTGGGCTTCTCGCATTCGTAAACTATCCCTCACCATCAAAACGTGTCATACACCTGCTAAGGCTTCTGAGTCTCCCTGCCCTTGTAGGGGGACACACATTCCTGTACTTTTTGACCAGTACAATGGCACCCACTATTAGGTCCGATAAAACTAACATGTACCACATCTTCACTCTAACCTTTTCACCTCCCTACTGAAGATGATTGACATGGTCCTATACTACAAAGAAGATATGTGAAATAGGTGTTTGGAGCCAATGTTATATCCCATGGCCGTCCCTGAAGCTCCCTAGGGAAAATAAGGGTTTCCATCATTTTCTTCGAGGAGGATTTCGTCGGTGCTATCCATTATAACGATGATCCCCTAGTAATCATTGTTCAGCATGACAATTAGGACATTAGGCATGCCCTAATAGATAAGGGTAATTTGTTGATGTTATATTCTAGGATTTCTTTTGGAAACTACAATTGGATTCGACCGACATAAAGAGGTTTAACGACTATTTGATAGGATTATCAGGAGAAAAAATATAGATAATGGTCCACGTGACCCTACAAGCCACATGCGGCGAGGGAGCAAACACAAAGGTCATTGAAGTTAGCTACCTCGTCTTAGACACGTTGTCACCTTACAAATCCATCCTAGGGTGCCCTGCCTTCAACGCCCCAGGAGTAACCATATTAACATTGTATTTAACCTTTAAATATTTTCTCCTAGATGGGCGAGTGGGTATAATCAGAGGGATCAACAAGGTGCTCGTGAATGTTATATGAGAAGCCTGTAGAAATTCAGGTAAGAGCATGCCCTTGTTAATGCATGTCCTTCCGAAGTTCCAAATACTAACTTCGATGATTGGGACCCTATATTGGGCACGGAGGAGGAACGACTCTCACACATGGAAGATTTGATTGAAGTCCAAATAGATTCTCTTGCGCATTAAGCTATTAAGATGGGCACTACCTTGTCTACATGAGAGGGGTGAGAGCTAGTCGACCGACTTAGAAAGAACATCGACTTGTTTGCCTGGGCCTTCTCTGAAATTCCAGGTATAAACACAAAAGTTGTGAGCCATCACCTTGCCATCCATCCCTCCGCCCAACCAGTAACACCAATGAAACTGAAGGTAGGCGATGAAAAGATGGTCGCCATTGATGAAGAGGTAGAAAATTATTCAATGTCAGATTCATCACTGAAACAAAATACCCCACCTAAATGGCCAATGTAGTACTGGTACAAAAGGCTAATAATAGATGGCGTATGTGTGTAGACTTTACGGATCTGAACACTTTGTGTCCCAAGGATCCCTATCTGCTGATAGACATCAACTATCTAATCAAAGGGTCGTCAGTTTACCACATGTTCAGTTTCATGGGCGCATACTCAAGATACAATCATATTTGGATGGATCCCCTTGATGTACCCAAAACCACTTTCATGTCGAACCATGGAAATTACTACTACATTGTCATGCCCTTCAGCCTCAAGAATGTTGGCTCCCCATACCAACAACTCATGGATGTAGTCTTTGCCCATCAGATAGGATGAAACCTAGAGGTATACATTGGTAACATGATTGTTACAACTAGGGAAGAGCATATCCACATCGACACCCTGGAGGATATCCTACAGTTAGTGAGAAGGTATCATATGTGATTAAACCCCGCCAAGTGCTCTTTAGATGTTCAGACAGAGAAATTTATGGGTTTTATGCTAACAAAAAGAGGTATTAAAGCCAATCTAGACAATTTTTGAACGCTCATTGACATGAGGAGTCCCACAAATGTCCAGAAATTACAAGAACATATTGGACGCCTTGTCTCACATCATCTCTGGTGCAGGTGACAAAGCATTCTTTTTCTTTGTCGCCTCGAAGAAAAAGGAGAAGTTCGAATGAACTGTCGAGTGTGAGGAGTATTTCACCAAGATTAAGGAGTTCCTTACATCACCCATAATCCTCACCCGTCCTAAGGAAGACTCTCTTTTTATCCTCTACCTCTCAGTAACAGAGCGGGATATAAGCTCAGTACTTGTCCAAGAAAAAGACAAGGCAAAGAGGCACGTGTATTTTGTAAGAAATATGTTCAAAGAAGTCAAGAAGTTTTGAAAAAAATCCTACCTGGCAGGAATAATGGTATCCTAGGTGGTAGAGCTCTTAGAATATGAAATCCAATACACCCCGAGGGGAAGCATCAAATCTCAAGCCATAGTCAACTTTGTAGCTCAGCTCAGCTCGCCCATAGATGAAGACCTCATCCAAATTGGGCGTTATTTGTAGATGGCACCTCCAACGTAAAAGGAAGCAATACATGAATAATTCTCAAAGCACCCGACAATTTAGTTATCGAGCAGATGCTAAAGTTTGAGTTCACCACCAGCAACAGTCAGGAAGAATACAAAGCCTTTATCACTGGTATGATCCTCGTCTTGGAAATGGGAGCCACTAGACTGAAGGCTAAGAGTGACTCTCAATTGGTCGCCAACTAGGTATCAAGGAAATATCAAGAAAATGAGCCACATCTAATAAAATATTTATATAAGGTAAGAAACTCATCCTCACGTTTCCTCTCTTATAAAGTTGAACACGTCCCTGCGAGTAGAACTTCAGGGTGAATCTCCTATCTAAAATAGCCACCTACAAGACCGTGGGGTTTAATAGAGCTGTTGTACATGAGACTCTCACCTCTCCAACATCGAGGTAGATGAAATATAATATTTAGAGATCATCTCCGCCACCAGCTAGATGTCACCCATATTATACTACATACATACAGGATAAGCTCCCACCATATGAGGGAGAAGCGAGAAAGATCAGAAAGCAGGTTTCCAAGTATACCCTACTCTCTGGGAAACTTTACCAAATTACAAAGGAAACCTCCAGGTTGTGATGCCCGAGTGAGGATGAAACTACCCTGGTACTTGCAAAAGTTCGCAAGGGAGCCTACAACAGCCACATTGGCGAAAAATTCCTCACTCACAAGTTACTAAGAGCATGATATTATTGGCTCACTCTAATGAAGGACAACATCAATTTCGTAAAGAAGTAAGGTCAATGTTAGAGACATGCTGACCTTCACCACGCCCCGATAGAACTTCTCCCATTGATGACCTTGCCCAGACCCTTCTAACAATGAGGCCTTGACATCCTAGGTCCAATCCCCTTGGTGTCAGGTCAGTTAAAATTCTTCATAGTGAGAGTTGATTATTTCACCAAATGGATAGAAGTAGAGGAAATGTTGTTATTTCACCAAGATCACGATGGAAAGACTATGACGTTTCTACTGACAGAAGATTATGTGCGGATTCTAACTCCCTAAGGCCATTTTCTATGACAACGGGACCTAGTTCGCTAGCTCCATGGTTACTAACTTCTGTAAACAAAATTCGTGGAGGCAAGGGCATCCAAATGAAATTCGTGTATGCGGTGCACCCTTAAGCTATCAGCCAAGCTGAGTCAGAAAATAAGGTAATTCTTAAGAGACTCAAGAAAAAACTTGATGATGTTAAAGGAATGTGTGCGGAACTGCTCCATGAGATATTATGGTCATATGACACCACACCATATTCAACCACCAAGGAGTCCCCGTTTTCCATGGTCTACGGGGCAGCCACAATGCTGCCCATAGAGATTGAGACGCCTTCATGAAGACGAACACAGTTCAACGATGAGGAAAACAAGATCAATTTAAAATGTGCAATATATCTGATCGATGAAGTAAGAGAAGTTTAACCGCCAAGCACAGGGCACGAGAAGGTACAACTCCAAAGTAAAGCCAAGGGAGATGCTAGAGGGTGACTTCGTATTGAAGGAAGTTGTCATACCCGAACAATAGGGGAAGCTGCAACCTAAATAGGAGGAACCCTACCGCATATATCAAAAACTCCCCCATAAAGCATACAAGTTAGAGGAACTAGAAGGACCGCTTCTGCCTAGGACCTGAAACGCTCTTCATCTTCAATATTATTAAAGTTAGAATTATTTATAATTCTCTAATACTAAACAACTATTTAAGTATCTTATTTCCAAAATAGTTAGTCCCTCTCTAAAAAAAGCTTATTGTGCTGGACGAATGTCCTTTCCTCCCCTCAAGGCGGTGCAAATGCTAGAATTCTCAACGAATGTCCTTGCCACCCCTCGAAATGATACTTTGTGATGAACTTCTCGAAGTAGGACCTTGCTACCCTCTCGAGGCGATACTTTGTGATATACTTCTCGATGAAGGTCCTTGCCTCCCCTCGAGGCGATACTTTGTGTTGGGCTTCTCGACGAAGATCCTTACTGTCCACGGGAAAAATATAAATATTAGACTTCCAAGAAATACCTTTGCCTCCCACGAGGCGAATAAACTTGTTGGACTTCCACAAGAAGATCCTTGCCTCCATTTAGGACAATACAAATAAACTATTTAAACTTTCGCCTGAGGGACTTGGTGTCCCCTCGGACGGGATTATATCCAATAAATCACGCCTAAGAGGCGCGATCCATATCCCGCCCTGGAGAAAGAATCACCAAACTTATTTGAGAGCTCGATAAAAAAATCGTCTAAGAAGATAAAACATCTCGTTTGAAAAATTTAGTGTCCCGTCATCCTAAGTTATACATCATTATTCGTAGAGAACTTAGGCTAACCAAACCTCCTCCTGAGGGATTTGGTGTCTCCTATGGCAGGATCATATCCAATAACCAAACCTCCTTCCATCTTCTTGGATTCTCAAAAGAACATCAACAAGATCTTCATGCTCTTCTTCATCATTTTTAATCTTCCCTTCTTTTGCTCTTTTTTGCTTCTCTTGATGCTTCTTAACAATTATTTCCATTATTTTGTCAGAATTTTTGTGCATTTTTTCCGACTTTGATTTCGCGCCGGATAGCATATTTATTATAGACTTCTTTGAAGGAAACAAGTCTGCAAGTTCAAGTCCTCCAACATATTCTATAGCTTTTCTTATCACATGCACAAACTCTTCTTGATCTTCTGTTTTGTCGCCAAAAGCCGATCTCGAAACCATAGAACTCACTAATGAGAAAATTCTATGGGTGAGATTGACTGGCGACCCTTCTGATGAGTGAATTGATCTTATAAAGTTTCGGGTCTCGTCTTCTCTAATATAAGCAAAAGTTTGAACTCTTTTGATACTTAAAAGCTCTAATATACATATTTTTCTCATTTGTTTCCAATAATCATTATATGGAGAAAATGCAATATCTTTTGAACCATATGACATGATATGAGATGATTGCAGATGTGGCCTATTAGCAAAAACAACATCATGAGTTTTTAATATTTCTTTTGCTAACTTTGGTGAGGTTATAACTACGGTAGAAATTTCACCAAGTTTTAGGTGAACAATAGGACCATATTTATGCGCAAGTTGTTGAAAAACACGATGTGGAAGTGATCCTAGGGCTGCTATTTGATGAAGGTTACCAATGATTGGTAACTTCATTGGACCAGGAGGTAACTTGTAAGCAGTTTTTTGTTTGTAGTATTTTGCAAGTAAATGAAACATTAATAAAAGAGAAAAGGGAATAACAAAGGAGGAAAGCTTAAGTTCCATGGCTACCAATGATACTTTTTTTTAAAGAAGAAAGATTGTAATACTCAAGCTTAGTATGTTTGTGTGTTATTTGATGAGACGTTGAGTCCTATTTATAGAATCATAGACATACCGATTATATGATAGGACAGTGACATGTGTACATATACTTTTTTTTTCTTTGTCGGTGAAAGTGTATAATTTTCAATATGTGATCGAGAAGATTGGAAAGAGTCTTAGCGAAACAAATGGATAAAAGTAAGTAATTGAGAATAGAATTGGACAATAAATTGCAAACGGTAACTGAACCTGAAAAATCAAATTGAGTTGGATTGGAACGGATCAAGGGTAAATCGAATCTAAACTTTGGTATCTGATCGTATCTAATAAGAAGGAATTGTTAATGGTTTATAAATTTTAGTTGAATGGCAATTTGAAGTGAGTGGGGGAGCGTACCTGCAAGGTGCTCTGATGCCAAAGTATGAATAGAGACAATCAGAGTACAAGTACTAGAAGTGAGAGTGAATGAATGAATGAATATCTGACCTTCTCATGTGAGAGGGTGTTTATAGCCCCAGCACTAGGTCAAGATCCACACGTTGGGCCAAGCAATTAGGTCCAATAACGAAGACTCTCAGGATTACGTGAGTAGTGGAGTCCAGCACGTGGCCTCCTTCCTGGTCAACTGTCTCGAGATAATAGGAAATTTTGACCTGTTATTCTCGGTGGGCAGGATGGTGGTTAAGGATAATTGTTGGCCACATTGTCCTGGTGGGCACGTGGGGACATCCCCAATAGTTATTGACTTGGGCTGAATGCTATTGGGGCATAGTAGAGACGCTAGATTGGGCTTGTCCAACGGTGGATCAAGTGTCAGCCCAATCTAGAATAGGAGCCCCCAAGTTATTACTCTTGGGCGAAAGAGTGATGACTTAGGAACAACTTAATTGTCGGAGAAAGGTTGTCTGACAAGGGAATTAACTTATGCCCCATACGCTCGGGGACGAACCAGTAAATAGTCACCATATTTCAGTCAGAGATTATATGGTCGGTGGGTCATCAATCTCCTCGTCGACTCATCGTGTGTGGTGTGGCGTGCGTGTGGAAGGATCTTCCTCGGTTGATTCGTTGACTGCCCGTCTTCATACGTTGCTCGCTTGAGACTTTGCGTTCGTGGGGAAAGCACAAAATTCTTCCCCGGGCTTGTCTTCTTGAGGTGCCCGTAGGAAAAAGCACCGCAACGATGTTGAGCATGTGTTCGTCAACGAGGGCTTTTGAAATAGCGTCAGCGCGTGACTTCACGCATGAGATTTTAATGTCAACGGTGCATCACTACGTGTGTCACATGTGGTGGTCATTTAGAACACCATCATTGCCTGGGTAAGCCTAAGGGTCTAAGAAATGATGATTCCTTGCACGCTACCCTGTATGGTGGGGACTAGCTATAAAAGGAGATGACGAAATTTACTTAAGCATTTTCAACTCTGCTCTCTTTTCGTTTCTTCTTTGTTCGCAAGCTGCTATACCGCCTTTGCCGCCATAGAATTTTCCAACGGTCATCTTTCTCCAAGTAAGTGCTTTTCTTTGAATATGTTAATTTACTTTAAGGATTTAGATGAACGGATCATGAATGTCGGATGAAGATCTGTGGATTTTCTGATGAAGTTCATGAATTTCGTATGAAGATTCATGAATTATGGGTGACGATCCATGAACTTCGGATGAACTTCAAAAATTTCGTATGAAGATTCATGAATTCTGGATGAAGATCAACAAATCTTGGATTAGCTTCATACGGGTCCATGTCGGGGATTTCTCCTCGTGATTTGAAAAAATCTGAGCAAGTCGCTCCATCGAGGAAAACGTTCGTGATTTTGCTTAGCTGAGGGGAGTCGTTTCCTTGCGTAGCCATCAAGGGCTTGAATCGAGGACCCATCCTCGAGGCGTTCCTCGCTCTTTCACTTGACCTGCGGTGGAAGGGTATATTTGATGATGTCGAATTCACTATTTTCCACTGCTTTTCAGGTTAGATGGCTCAATCGATCGAAGGGACCATTTTACCCGACACTCACCTCAAGGAAAATGTGAATGCGGGCAGCAACCTCGATTGGGTCGTGCCTGAGCTAAAAATCTAATGTATCAGGTCGTTCATGATCCTTCTGATGCATTCAACGTTGTCGAGGAGAAAGAAGATGATGCTTCCCCCTCTTGGTCGATTCGCATTCCAAACGAGAACATGAGGATCTTCTCGGTGTTCTTGGGAAAGCGCTTCCCCGTGTATGAATTCTCTTTTAAGGAAGCGGGGATGCGCCTTTCCTTTACGGATTTTCAGGTGGGGTTTTTTCAGTGGCTAAACCTGGCGCCTTCTCAACTCCACCCGAATGCGCTCGCGTTTATGCATGCATTTGAGCTCGTTTGTCAATACCTTAATGTTGGCTCCATCGTGACCCTATTTTTCCGAAACTTCTATCTCCAACGATAGACTGTTGACGGTCTTCAGGCATGGGTATCGTCCAAATAGTTTGGGAAACTATTCCGACCGTACCTGGAGTCTATTTGTCATTTCAAAGAAAGGTACTTTATCGTGAATCCGATTTCCCAAGCGGCCATGGATTTTCTGTATGATCGTTCAATCGAGATAGAGGATGGTCGGGAGGTGACAAAGCTAAGGGCGAAATTTCCCCTCAAATGGTTATGGAAGCACTTTGAGGAGAAGCAAGAATTTTACGCAGTAAAGCTCGAGAAGCTGGACGCACAGGACATGCTTACTTATGATAAATTGACGACCTATGTCAGGGGTTTCTCCCATGCTATATTCGTGGGTTTGAACAACAACTTAATTTTCAATGATGAGGGGGAGCATATCTGTTGTACCCCAAAATTTGTCCTCCTATTTTCTTCAAGACATTCTCCTAGGTTTCTCAAATGCTCAAGGATGCTCAAGAATTGATCAAATAAATTCTCCTCATAAGCAATTGACTCACAACTAGGGTTTTATATTTCTCAAGGAAGATTAGGTTTACAAGGTCTCAAGTGGTTTTCATGGTTCTTAATATGTCCCTAAGAATTCTCATACCAAATCTCAAGCCTTGCATCACAAGTTTGCTCAGTCAATTGCTCAGATGACTGAAAATCAATTGTATTGGGTAAAAAGTCAATCATGGTCAACATATAGTCAAACCTCAATATTTTTTTCCAACATAAATATTTTAAATACACATTCATCATTTGATTAAAGGTTGACCATGATTCCTCAAGAAAAGCCCTCAAATCATCAAAAGTCAAAAGTTACCAAATTAGGGTTTTCCTTAGGAGAAGTCAACTGAACTTTGACAAAGCATAACTTTTACATGCTTCATCAGTTTTGCCCCAACAAAATCTCATTTTTAAGGAAATTCAATTCTTTACAACTTTGTATCTCTAAGCTCAAGTCCAAAAAGTGCATCATTTGAGATATATAAGTCAATATATTACAGGTCATTTCAAAAGTCAACAAAAAGACATTTTTTATCAAGGTAACTTACATCAAGATAAATTCTTCAAAATCAAAAAAGGTCGAAATAGAAATTGTAGAGGACCTCCTGAGATTTCCAAAAAGTCAAAGATCACCTTCAAAATATGAAAATTGAGAGAGTTATTACCAGTACAAGTTGGGAAATTTTGAGCAAATGCATGAAGTTCAAATTGAGCAAACTTGATATTTTAGACAATTGGGCCATTGTTTAAGAGTCCAAACGTGCTCTACACTCCTTATATACCTCAGAACTCATTCATACACCCTTGACCTATTTTTATTTTAATTATTTTAATTATTTTTTATTTATTCATTAATAATGCAAAATAAATAAAATAAAATACAAAGCTCTTTTACACAACGACCAAGCTCATATATTTGCCCTAATTTCAACCTATATATTCTCTCATCTATTCTCATACAAGAAAATGAAAAACCCTTGCCTCAAAAGTTATAAAATATTCCAAACTTTTTCAAAGAACCCTAAAATCTTGAAACTCTTATCACAAGCTCTTCCACTACAATACAACCATCTCGTTCACTCCTAACAATTATACAGAGTAAGGTTGGGTCGATTTTGATGTTCCAAAACACATGAAACCCCATCGCATGACATGTCCGATTTCACATTCTTACAAAATTCATATTTTTAATTTTGTTTTGTTTTAAATCAGACTAATGTTATTAACATGCTTCTGAGATGTCTTTGAACAGGTTTGGGTCATCATAGTGATCGCATGCATGCTAAATCACAGAATAGCATTGTTGCACCGATCCATGCATTTTTTCTCATAGCTCTTAAAACTACCAGTTTTAGCCCACCATAATCCCTCTATTAGATTTACAACCCTCGATTTACGGGGGTGGGGTGTAACGCCCGTAATTTAATTAATTATTTAATTAAGTTATTTTTGGAATAATTGTGAAGAAGTATTATTAAATTGGATTTATTTTATTAAATGGAGAAATAATAATATATTTGAGGTATTATATTGTTATGTGAAATAATGTTAGAAGCTAATATTATTTAAGGTGGGCTTAATTGAGTTAGTGGAAGTAATAAGGGGGTGTAAGTTTGAGCCCAATAAGGAATAATATAATAATATTAGGTTATTTTATTATTTGTTGTTAGAATAGAAAGAAGAAACAGTAGAAGGAAAAATAAGGATTGTGGAAACGTGAAGCTGCTGGTTTTGAAGGAAACGACAAGAATAAAGATTCAACCCAGAAATTGTAGAGCGACCTTCGATCCAAGGTAAGGGTGGGGTTCTGGCTTTATAATTGGGATCATGATGTTTGATATGTGGGATTAGAGGATTGATGTTTTTGTTATTGAATTGAATGATGTATGATGAATATTGATGAATTCTTGATGGATAAATGATGTTATGATGCTGTGTAAACGATGTAGTATTAAAGGTTAATGATTAGGTGATGAATTATCATGGTTAGGATGAGGTTTGTAGGACTATGATTTTATTCCAGTAGTGAAAATATAGTAGAAAAG